TACTTAAGCTTTGAGATTCTTTAATGAATTTTTACAATTTGCAGAGAAAAATAAATGGTGTTGAATCGATCAAGGACTAGAAGTGCTTAGTGTTTCTGTTTTAAAAATCTTTATATGAGTAAGCGCGGTCTACTTTCAGGTGGTGCATGTGTGACTACCAGTGACTGTGATTTATACTCAAAATGTCAGAATGGCCAATGCGTCGTGCTAACTTCTATGCAGGGTAAGCATACAGTTTAAAACTTACTAACCGCTAAGTTACTGGTGAGTCCTTTTCTTTCAATTGTGTCATCAGCTTACATGACAGCAAAAATGTTAATTTTTACCTTAAATAGTTCTTGTTAATCTGTTTCTTGTACAGCTCAGTAGGCAGAGGTTCTCATTGCTGATCTGACCGCTTTGATTTAACTCCAAACATGCAATTCTGCTGCAGCTTTAACATTATATTCAAAAACTGGTTGTAAAATGACAGTAGCTTAAGAACAGAAGTTGCAGCAAAAATAGAACAAAAATTCTACTGCTGCTAATAACTTGCGTCGTTTACAGTGATGTAAAAAGCAATAGAACGTGTACAAACTTCAAACTTGGGTAATTAAACTTTTATTGCAGAAAAGCACAACAACTAGTTATAAAATTACTGGTTTTTGACAAGTAGTAGTAACTCGAATAAAAAAAGTGACGATCGATAATGCTACAATAAAAAAAGATAAGTTGGTCGACTATCAACAAAAAACGCGTTGCTGTATAATGGCGCTCCTTTGTTCGTTGACTCATTTGAGTTAATTAGCTTTTGTTAACATGCAATTTCTAGCTGCTTTATGATCTTTTCCTTAACGACAGTTTCTTTACGTTATACTTACTACTTCTGGTCCTTGCGCTAGCCGCAGCAGAAGTGGTAAACGTGCAGCGGATACGAACTGTGTTGCTATAAAATCTGACTTTTTAAAAATGATAACTTAAGATGAACTCAGATTACATAATATCAGTCTAGATTTGCGGCTTTTAACGTGCATATTTTCAGGCAGCTTGACAGGTAATAAGCTCAAACTGCTATTTTGTAGATAAGATAAAAGAGGATATTTTGCTAGAACAGCGTTTTCAAGTAAACCAAATTTACTCCAAGAGTTTTTGAATTGTTATATCTCTTGATGAAATATTCTAATAAATTTTTAATTAGTAATACGTTGAAAGGGAGTCTATGCATGTTTTATTTTTCTGTGAGCGCTAAGCTATGTTATAACTGCTGGTAATTCAATGTGATAATAAATATGAATGAGTAATTGTAGTTTATTTCCAATTTATAATGAAGTATTAGAGAAATAAATTACTTTAAGTGGAATCTGATTTAAAGTATTAAATAGTAAAGCAAATCTAAAAGACATATTATTTTAGAATGCCAAGACAAAATCACCTGTTGTGATGCCATAAAGTACCTCTGTAAAAGTCAAAAGCATCAGGTATTCATGCGTACAGTGTGCCGCAAAACGTGCTTTGACTGCGGTAACCGTTTATATCATTTTTACATTTCTTCATTACCTGAAATATCAGTGAAAATGCCGCTTGCCAACAAGAAAGCAAGATTACATAGAAACAAGGAAAAAGGTTTTTGTTGGTGTCGTAGCAAAGAGGAATTCTTCCGCACCTTTTTTCTTATAACCGCATACAAACGAATGGCGGAGGAGTGTGCGAGAGAAAAAAAAGAAAGAGTAGCAGGAACAGAGGAAGTTTCAGCACAGATTTTTTTACTCATTTCAGAGCTGATAAGATTTAGTGAAAACATAAGACTACTTTCTCTCAGTGTTGTTTCAAACCATCTTGAGATGTCTTATTTTTACGACATTTCTACCAATGACAATGACTTTTTTAAGCAATTCAAACTAAACTTTTACGCAACTACGGGTAAGGAAGACAGCTTATGTTGTTACTTCTTTTTTTCTTTAAAGATGCAACTATTTTTACTTCAACTTCTCAAAAGAGGATCTCGCATAAGGTAAGAATAACAACCTCCTTCTTTGTGAAAGTAAGGTGGCGTTATTAAATTGGTAAGGTTTATTTGAGTATGAGCTAGCTAATGCTGCCTCTGATTAGGAGCTGCGGGCATGAAATGCTTCTAAATAATGTCCCAATAGGTAATAGCTTGACCTTCAGTTCTTTCATGCGGTCAACAGATTGCTCGGCCGATGCAGAATTCAAAAATTGTCAGCTTACCTTCGTGTTCTCTTTGAAGCATCAAAAAAAGATGCTTGTTGGCTGTATGCTATACAAGTTTATTACCAATCAAAAAAGATGTGGAAGACAATTTGCAAATTCGTAACAAAACTTCTTCTGTTCGAGACTTTTTTATTTTCTTAATTGTTACTTTTGATAACAAACGACTCGTCTTTCCTTAAAGGCTAAAAGTGATTATTTAAAAGAATTTCTTTTTTGGAAAGATCTTATTATTCGCAAAATAATTACTAGCTTATGCAAGTGATAAAAGTTAATATTTCAGTAACGAAATATTCTGCTATTCTGTACTGTTTGCTTCCTGTAATTTATTACTTTTCTAGCAAAATTTTTTTTTTGCTAGAATAGTAATGAATTGCAAAGAAAGAACTTTATGACAATTTTGAAATATATTATTGAACATTTGAACAATTACCCTAAATGCTTTCAATTTTTAAGAAGAACTGTTTGTTTTTTAAGGTTCACATTGTCGATGCAGTGCGACCTTCAAAAAATTTCGAGATCACTGTATCGCTGTATGTCTTTTCTTTGAAGAACTGCATAAATATCGTAACAGCTACGCAGTCGGTTTGAGACCAGTTACAGTTGCATCGTCATAAAGCTCGTAGATTTTATAGCGTTTCAGATACAATC